GAAGACCATCTTTGTACTTTTTTTTGTACAGCTTACATGGAAATGTGAATAAAAGCAACATTTAACTTTTTCTATTGTTTTGGCCAATCTAGGCAAAGTCTTAAAARCTCAAGTTAAAAAAATAACATTTAGGGGATTTTTTGGGGGGGTTTAACACAGTGGCGGGTCATTTTGACCCGAAGACAACAGGAGGGATAAATAAAATATTTTGTCCTCATCTGTGCATATTTGACTCTTCGGCAAAAACAATGCTAGATGTTTTTTTTCTTTTATTCTATGGTGAAAGTGAGGGAAAATTCAGTACTGCTGTTCCGATTCACTTTTTTTTGTCACATTTCATCTAGAATACTGRAAGTACCTTCTTTTTAGTTTACCTGCAAGACTCCAACTGTTACAAAACTCAGTTGCTCATATCATTTCCAGAACCCCTTTCCATCAGTCATATAACACATTCAGTTGCTCCCCATCAAAATTTTCATGTCCTATAAAATCATGCTCCTCACCATTCATAGCGCTCAATAACCTCGTCTCCCCAGCATCTCACAGAAGTTCTTCACAAAGACCTCATCCTACACTCTCAGGTCCTCCTCCTCCATCCAACCACCAGACAAAAGGCACAAGACAAAAGGTAGCTGGATTGATGGGTGAACCAAGAACTCAAAAACATAAATGGCTGCAATGTAGACAGATAAGAAAAAAAATGCTTAACTTAATATAGATTTTTTTATCACATTTAAAGAACACAGTTTCCAAAAAACAAGGTTTGTTACTTAAGACAGCCTTTGGTTCATTCTGTCATTGACAAATAAAAATGTGTCAAAGTAAAGCTATTAGCAGAGACATCATGACCTGTAATGCATTTATGAAATCAAAATGTTATTTGTTTGTTTGTTTGCTTTATTTAATAATAATAATATATGATGCATTAGGTTGAAGAAGAACACTTCACAACTGTCTGGCTTGAAACTCCCTTAGAATGACAAATGATCACTACAAAATACAAGATAGAAATGATGGATACAGATGTTGTTGTTGTAATTATTATCATTGTTGTTATTATCAACGCCATCAATACTGTAACCCACCGCTTCAAACACACACACACTAACATGCAGGCACAAACACAAAGCATCCTCTGGGCTTTTGGCTCTTCCTCCAAAACAATATGTCATTGTATTTTTCTGTGTGTCTCTCAAGTCTGTGCTTTAGAATGTGTTGTAAATATATGTTACCTCAAAATTAGGAAAAGATAAAAACAGCTATTTAGATATCGAATGTGGCGYTAGTTTGATGTGTCAGAAACAAGTGCCAGCCTAAGGAAACAAATAAAGTATGACACAGCTCTGATTGTGTCACAGCAGTGTTAGAAGAAAAAAAAGTGATGTCCAGATAAGTTTTTTGAAGTGAACAAGTTTCCTGCCAGTCTTAAAAAAATGTTTTTAAGACATTGATTGCTCAATAGTGCCCCCTGCTGATCATAAATAAATAAATTGAGGAAATTATATATTAAAAAAACACAACATAATGATACTCTAATCTCATTTTCTTCTTTTTTATTTTATTTATTTATTTTTTAACCAAGATGAATTGTTTATTTCAATATACTCRGTGGCAGTATAGGTATTGTCTGTTGAACTACTGTAAACACATACCATAAAAAGACAAGTCTACATGCAAACTGTTCTGCTAAACCAGTTGCAGGTTTGTATTTGGAACAGTGATTCATTATGATGAGAGGGGGAAAATGCATGTGTCTAATCAGGTCTTGCTTTAATATGTGCCCTTCCTACTCACACAATTTAAATCTTGGCTCA